TTTTCTGAAGTCTAATTGCAGCCATTTTTCAAGTGGTAACCCTCAACTTTCTCGGGCACCTAGGACCATTTTTCAACCGTAGTTTTTAGCCTTTCTGCTCTCACATGAAAGCTCAAAGACCCGGGGAGTTCATCCTGGCAACGATTTACATAATCTCATCATTTTGGGGGCCAAACAATCTCCTTTTTCAAAAGATACTGTGTGTGTGTGTGTGTGGGGGGGGTACTTTTAATGCTAATGAGCTGGTCAAAAATTCTCTCTTGAATTAGCGGTCTGCACCCTTGTGTGCTTGTACCCGCCCACGTGTCGGTGGTTCGGTTTGTACGTCGGTGTACAAGGATCCGTTGTGGTTCGCCATTGTACCGAGCTAGGGTGGCAGCTCGTTTACCGTGGTTTGCGTGCGTACGCCCTGGATCTTTGCCTGGGTTTAATGGCCGGGTAAACCACCTTGGACAAGGCTACTGTGAATATTTAATGCCAAGTTCATTCTGATTTCAACTTAAGTTGTGGTCGTCAGTGCCCCCAAACTGGTAGTTCCCCGCCTCCTTTTATTTGCCAACTCGTTCGTATGCTTTTCAAACGACACAGACAAAATGGCAAACTCAGTGCCTTTAAATGTTTCATCACGTTCGACTCTGTCATTAATACATCTGGTATTGAATTCCATATCTGCCGTCGCCCGTCGTCTCTTGCTTGTTCGATCTGTCCGCCATGCTTGACACTCATTTAGCCTAGAAGATAATTGATTCTCCAGTTGCGCCGTACTCCACTTGGAAGAAGCAATAGGCCTATCCTTTCCTTTTTTTAAAGAATGACATCGGTAAAGAAACGTGTATGGGAAATAATAACCACATTCCTAAATAAATAGATAAATTAACAAAATAGACTTATATTACGGTAGATTGTATTTCTAAGTTGATAACTTAGTTACTCCAGACGTAGCTTTACTTGTGAACGGCCGATGCACGACGGGCGACGAATGACGCATGACGGGTGACGCACGACGGACGACTGGAGACGGCCGACGCACGACGAACGACAGCACATGCAATTCCGTACCTCTTTAGTGTTAGAATATCAAAAGGCGCCAATTGCATGTTTGATTATAAATCTTCTGTTTACTTTAAAATAAAATGAAACAAACTGAACTGATTGACTTCTTTGGAAGAATCATTTCGGCTGAAAAATCAGCCAGAGGCTACTGAAGTGTCCACAATGCTATGAATGGTCCACAAATTATGAAGATATTTTCAACCGTGCCATTAACAATAATGCAAATGGCTCAGACTAAACCATGACATGCAATGTCTCATGTTTCCGTCGAGACACCAATTAATAATACAGTTTCGCTTCGGGTGTCAGAGATTGTACTCTGTGGGTTTGCTTCAGAATCATTATCATTTGCAGATTATCATTTGTTGAGGTTGAGAGTGGAACAAAAGAGGGCGTGTGGTCTTTTGGTACTCACCACAGATAGACTGCCGGGTCCTATTAAAAACTACAAGGGTTTTTCGTGATCTATGGACAAATTCACCCCTCGGTATAGGGACTTTACGCAAAGTTGAAGAATTCCTGCCATAAAATTCTATGAAACCATTTTTTTATTGTAAAAAACCCTCAATTTACTTTATCTGGCACATAGGAATTCAAAACAATGCAGTCGCAAGAGTTGAAAAGAAGAGATTGCGGTACCGAAGAGCAAAAGGTGAACGTATTTGGAAGCACATGTAAACAAATACAGGCAGTTATAAGTGCATTGCGCGTGATGTGTTGCGCGGAAATACTCCGTTACATGCAACTCTACGTACTTCAGGCTGGAAGCTGGGCTGAGGAGGCCCGCTGCTGAACGCGATGAGCCAGAGCAGCCTGACTTTGGAAGTATGTGAATGTGGACTAAATTAAATGTTGGTTGTTTTCTGCATGGGCTTGAATATAAAAGGAACCAAATTTCAGTGGACTCTAAATGCCGTGCAACACCGACAAAGTACAGATTAGGTCACGTAGTCGGTGCTTTAATGTCCAATCATTTAAGATGATGAAAGTGATTTTACGTGCATTAACCTCCAGCCATTGAAATAAAGTAAATCAGCATCAATCCTTTAGTTCACTGTATTCAAACTTAGAAACTTGCCTTGTGGGTTCTGCTCCCAGGGAAATGAAAAAAAAAAACAAGTGGTGAGGGCAAAATCCAAGAGTTATGCGGTGTTGACCAAGCATTCAGGCGCACAGACTCCTGAAATTCGCAAGGAAACGCAGTTTTTAAAGGCTTCCACAGAACCTTTCATTTAACCCCTAAAGGGGTTTGAGTGACCATGCAAGGGAGAAAACGAGACAAGCCCCTAAGCCCTGGCCGCTGAGTCGGCCATACGCCTCGAACTGTACTGAGGCGCTCACCTGGACTTCGCAGACAGTCCCAACAGAATATCCATTCTTTAACCGATGATTTCTGAACTCATTAATTTCTTCTGAAGGTCACCCCTAAAATGCAGTCTTGAAACCCCTTGTCATTTGAAATACCGATACCTACACTTCTTGAAAAATAGACCGTTTTCGGGCACTGATTTTTTCCAAATCTCACTCAGACGCAAGCTGGTATTCTCTTTTCCTGCCTAAACCTGTCTTTTCTACAAAATGCTCTATTTCGTAGAGAAGTGGAGTGCATACAAATTCTTATTTCGCACGCGCAAGCAATTTTCGGCTTATTTACCAGCCTGCATCCTAAAATCGCTCTGCATAACGCCCTCTGTCGCGTCACATTAGCATAAAGAAGTTTCAAGTGGGCGAAAACCCCTTTTTACAGAACAGAATCGGTGTGCAGGAGAATATACGTAAAATCACTGTCAATGTTGACTAGCAGCAACATTTAGACACAATGAAATAACAACTACCCCTCAATCAGGAACAACTGACCCATGTTCAAGTTTACTTCTAGATTACGTATCCAGGATATCATTGAGTGTGTATGGAAAGGTATTTTCCCAACGTGCAGCTATTCTTGGAAGTCTCTTCTCAGTTTCTTGATTTAGTAGAGAACAACGCAATCGAGTTTTTTTAAACGACAGGAGTTAAAGGTTTGACACGCAAATTGTGACCTAACTGGACTTACAAAAGATGGACAAATTAAACTAGACTATTATATTTATTTACTATTATAAAAGAAGGTTTAAAAAGCAGATTTAATTTAAAGTTCATAAAAATCATTAAAAATTGTCTCAATTTCATAAGAGCAAAAACAATATCTAAACAACACTTGAAATGCAACAGGATGTTCATTTCCCCATTCTATGCTGAAATCGGATAACGACATCACAAAATGAAGCGACCTTTAGGTAAGCTGTATAGCCTCTCTGCAGTTTCCTAACCTTTGCCATTAAATTACATTACCAAGAAAAAAATATGTATATCAAGTACACAATTTGACGCCGTAACATTCAAAGCAACCTGAACTTTGGATTCACCAGTGATAAATTTCATACAGGGAGAATGACAAATTGTAGCTTTGTAACAAAAGTGGACTGATAACAGTAGTTTGTTTACATTTCAGTGTGGGGCTTTTTCATAAACATCAAATATAAAGACAACAAGCCATTTTCAGGTTGGCCTTTTGGACAGAAGTGGACGCTGTAAGGTACTGAAAACCTAAACAACTTCGTATTAAAGTAGGAGTTGTACACTCTAACGTTTCGTGTCGGTAAATGACATGTTTTGCAGCCTTTATCAGATCGAGCTAACAGGTCCTCTAGCTGCCGCCTTTCAAAAACGACTTACATGTACCACTAAACGAAGCCAATGATATAAAATTTGCTGGAGATTTTAACTACTGATATTTATGATGACTTTGTACCGTCGTCCAAACCTCCAACACCAAGCCGGGCAAGTTGGCGCGGCACGGGAGTTGATAAGTCCTTTTAACAGAGAAATATATTCCTCGTATCCTTACTTTTGCTTTTTTCAACTCTGTGAAATGCAACATTTGCCATTTTGTTTTACGCTGTTGATGCTTTCTCTGATTAATCGGCATTATTAAAAATTCATTGAAAGTGTTAAAAAACAGCCAAAATACAGGCAATTTATAAGCAGTTGTTTTAACTGAATAAAAATCAATAAAAGTGTCGTCAAATTTGAAGTCAGTATCCCCTGACATTTTATTCAATTGAAAGAAGGGCCGAGCAAATACAGCTACACATCGTAACCACTACAATGCCACCGGTAAAAATGGGGGTGGCTCCGCCCTTCTGACAGGGATTCACGTAGTCCTCGCAGTGTTTCTTGTCCCCAAGACAGGCGGCGTAGCGCACCACGTGCGCCATGTAGTTCTGCTCATGGACACCGTGGAAGAGGTGCGACATTGGCCCGTTGGCGTAGATAGCTACGTCCTCTCCACCGTGAGTCTCGCGACCCAGGGGGACAATGGCCGGTTGAATGAACCGCGGAGTTTCTGTGGAAAAGTAGGTTCGCGCGATTTTCAATTTTAATAAAGCTTCTGCTATACATATAAGGTAATGCAATTTACAGAGTAGTGCTAGAGAGCTGTCTCGAAAGTACTGACACCCTACCACTGTAATATATAGCAAAATACGACACTTCAAAGCCTGCCAGTAACGAATTTTGATTGGTAGCTGGTAGATAACAGGTACATTAGCCTCGACATAAGCACAATAAACAAGAGTTTTCTCCACAGGGAAACTGTGTCAAATGAACCGAAACATATTATTTGTGTTAATGAGGTAGATCCTGAGATAGCAGAAATAAGTGAATACTTCGGACTACAACAGAAGCTAAGGCTCTTAGATTGACATCAACGACTTGCAGGTAGTGTAATCTTATAATTACCTGTGTCTGTGCCAGTGAGGTTGCGTCTTGAACCCGTAAGATTGTAGCTGATTTGCTCGGCAGTACCTCCCGGTCCATTGGCGTAGCTGATCGTGGTGAATGGGAGATCGTCATCACCGACTCCCAAGTCGTACAAACCTGAAACCGCGAAATCCAAGTTTATAATAACATTCTACAAATACATGTACATGTATTTGTTTTGATCGATAATGAGAGAGTTCACTTGATAAAAGCAGGTTGTGCCAAATATACATATTAAGCTGTTTCTAGTGACTTAATTTCAGAGGTAGACTTACACAGAACGCACACTTAAGATTGTGAATGGAAACCAACTCACATGGCACAGGGTTGAAGTCGCACTTGGAAAGTGACGGAAGATGCGGCTGCATTCTGATCGCGTTTAATCTAAATCAGTTATTTTCCACATAGACTATAAACCACTACATACTACCAATAACCCACATACACTCAATGCATGTAAAACTTTCTGGACGGCACTCACGGCAAGATGTGTTTTGGGGGTATAGGCCTATGACCTGTAACTAACGAGAACACGTGCTTGGGGTTTAGGGTCGGAGAACTAGACTTGTACAGTGTCAAATGTGATTACGATTTACAGTGCCTTTTTAAAGTCTTACTCTCACCCCAATACAGTGGTCACCTCATTGGACAAAGTGTTTTGTTTTATTTTCAGGGAAACAGACAGTACACAGCATTGGGGGTATGAACTATATGAAGACCTAGTTGAGGCCCAGGGCGACTGTGCGAGCCCTCTGTGTCACCATCCTTCGTAAAGTGTTTAATAAATGTCACCTCACCTAAAATAGGGTTGCCCCGGCTCGGGTAGCCGCCAATGGTCATCACGTGACTATGATCAGCTGTGACAATCACCAGCGTGTCTTCCTCATTGGTCATTTCCATTGCCTTGGCAACTGCAGCTTCAAAGGCTACTGTCTCTTCGAATGCGTAGCCTGCGAAGCCGTTATGGTGAGCTTGGTCTATACGACCGCCTTCAGACGATCGCATAAAAATGAAACGATACGGAAATACATTTATTCCCTTTTTCTGAAAACGTTCACAATATGAATAAACCTGAGTGTCTTTTCCAATGCGGTGGTTACTTCAGCAGTAGTGGAACTAGGGTTAAGTGTATAAGAGTAAGGTTTCTTACTTACTCTGAAGCAATAAATGAACATTATTTCTTTTTCACCAAAGTCCCAGAGGTGACTTGCCCGCTACTCCCTAATACGGACGTCACTGGATCGCATACGACTTGTCTTACCTTCAACCATTAAGAAAAAACCGTCTTTGTCTTTCTGTAGGATCCGGATGGCCTTTTCTGTCATCTCAGCGATAGACGGTTCGTCTTTCCGTTCAGCTTCGTACTGCATGTGACTGGGCTCAAACAGACCTGCAGCGAATCAGTAGGTGGGATAATCATAAAGTTTTAAAATGAATTTCCTTGGGTAGGCTCAACTACCTCCACGAGTTGACTCAGGTTTTACCTCGCCCCACAACACACGGCGGCATCGCCTGGTTTACGGTTGTCCCGTGTAGGCTTACCGAATCTACCCACTGACGTGACTGAGGCACAGGAATCCCTTCATTGGAACCCAACTCTCCACCTACATACAATTGACTCGTAAAACGCATTTGCAAATATCAAAACATAGACAGAAATTGCATGAATTTTAAGAAGCAGTTAGCGCAACGTACAGCTTAACATTGGCCTAACACAGTGACTCTCTATGATGCAAACATCTGTCACAAAGGATATCTTTGCCATATTTTGTTACGATCTTAAAATTTCTAAATCATTAATGAATGGTATTACCCGAAATAAATTTTCTCTGAAGCAAGAAAAAAAGATTTTCATTAATGAATGGTATTACACAAAATAAATTTTCTCTGAAGCAAGAAAAAAGGATCACAAAGATAAAAAACAAAGAAACTGTGGCATTCATCTCTAAAGTATATTGAACACTCAAAGTTTCGATAGAGCCTTTAAAAAATAAAAATGGTCAGAAATTGATGCTGCTAGGATATGTATCTTTTAATACTAACCTCTTTACCTTATTTCACCACTGTACATCAGCATAATCCAACCACTTTGTTTCTTTGTTCTATTCTTCAACATGGAATCGTTTAAAAGTACTGCATCAAAGGAAATTCAGGATTTTGAGTAATTTTCATTCATTAACAGTTGAAAGAGTACCGGATTGTAACAGTACAATGTCATCTCTTGTTCTCAAACAGGGTCTATACTGTTTTAATTTCCTTTATATTTTCTTTGTAATGGGAGGCAAAATAGGAAAGACAAACATACCAAGAAGAAACTCTGTCTTCTCAGGTTCCACTTTTTTAAACTCTTCCAGGTTCCACACGAAGAGACTCGTTTGCGTGTCTTTAGCGGCTTGCCATTCTTCTATGAATAAAGGTTACAGACGGGTAGATGAAAATCAAACTCCAAGACTGAGGTCAAAATTAACTATATATTAGCAAATTTCCTTATGGTGGGATTCTCTTTGTCTCACATCCCCTTAAATAAAATATCTATAACGTGAGAAAAAGACGCAAAATGCAGAGATGCGTAAAATGGAAAATAAGAACGGTGTAACTACCTATAAGTCTGTTGGGTATAACTTGTAGGAATCGATTGCTTTTTCGGTCTGTTTGTGTTTTTTTTGGTCCAAAGATTACCTATTAGATTCCTTCCGTCTGTCCTTTCACCTTTCAGTTGTGGATATTCGTAGTCACTGAAGTTGTTAGGAGTCATCTTTCGTCGACCTCCACCCATGATAACCTGGAAACAAATAGTGACTATTAACGATAGATAACAGTGCCGTTAAATGGACGCTCCGTTATGGCAAAAATCTGCATTGTCATTAAAAAGATACAATTGGAGGCCCTCTTTCCAAACAAGCGAGCAATAGACAAGATCGGCAGGAACGCGCAGTTTCGAATAAATTTGAGTTAAAATTACAAGAACCGCTAGGAAGTGAATCAACAATGGAGGTTATGCATAGCTGCGTCCCCATGGTTTCTCAAGAGGTTTGTGTTTATTTTAATTTAGTTACATGGAATGTACAAGCTCTCTGAGGACGCGTTAACGCATGACTTATATCCCAAGTATGGTTCTTTTTAGATGGAACACCATCACCATGTAAGTTTTGAAAAATCCAGGTCAAAAACTCGCACGCCTTCTCACTATCGTATTGCCTAGAGACCGTGGACAAAGCCACAAGGCAGGGTCACGACTAATCTCTACGTAAGCCTTAATTCTATCTTTGAATCAAGATTACCTTGGTGTTATTCCCCAACGTGACAAGTTGATGGGCGATATCGGTGCATCCCAACGCAGCCTCCTTCTCCGGTATGTAGGCGTTGCTCTCCCAGCCACGGTGCGGCGAGTGCGCGTACAAACAGGCAGGAGTGGCGTGAGTCACGCGAGCTGTGGTCACAAACCCTGTTGCCTTGCCTGGAAAAAACAATTTTTGTCAACGTGAAATTAATGTTCGTTAGTGTGCATCATGTGAATCAAATGACTTAACGAAAAACCATAAAATACTCATAAATGGCAACCAAAAATGAGAAAACGAACCTTAAAAAATCATCCAATGCTAACTGCAGCGTTTGAAATTGTCAGTGGAGATGCCTGTCTAAAATTGACTTTGAAATTCAGTGTGGAAAACTAAATAGATATCAATATTACACGTTACCTTCTTTTTCGGCATCCATCATAACCGAATCTACTGCAGCGTTCAGGCTGGACCGGCAGTCGCCCACTACGGCCGAATCGTCCACTCCTATCATATCCTCCTTGGTCTTGACGCCGCAAAAATACGCTGTGGCCGTGCCGGCCGAGTCCGGTACTTGCCGGTTAGTGTTGTAGGTCTGCCAGTAAGAAGGGAGGGATTTATTCGAGCAAAGTGATCAACATCGAGTTAGTCATTTTTGATGTCGTCGCCAAACTACCAGTTTAAATGCCTTGTGGAGATTGGTGTAGTATGAGCCTCTGCCTGACTGTCCTTATTCTTCATGCCCTTAGCACCAATGCTGTGTTACAGAGGAGGAGATTCCTGGAAGGGGGAGGCATATATCGACCCACTTTTGGTCCGGTGAAATAAATTAGCCGGATGTTGAGAAGTTGTTCGGAACTTTCAACAAACAAACAAACCTGCTACTGTTAGCGCTGAAAAAAACAAACAAAAAACGGGAAAACAAAGAAAAATACGCTGGTTTGATGTACGGTCCAGGGGTGTGAGATGAGCACTTGCAGAACGAACAGCGCCCTCAATGTCATATGTTGTCAACACCCCTGTCAGCATTTCAAAATTGAATTATTATACCTGCTGCCCAACTATGTAACCATAAGGTAAATTTTATTCAATTAAAAAAGTTCACTTCAACACGTTCTTGGTCAGGCTAAACCATAACAATACCTTTCCGAACAGGATCATTTCGGTGTAAAAGCTTCGTTCTTTTAAACAGCTGTGGGTATTGGTATCGGCTGCCGCGGCCGGGCATTTCTATTTGTCAGTCATCCTTGTGCCCCATTCCTCCTGTGCCCAGCACAAATTTGCGGCACTGTTTCTTAGTCCACCTAAGGCCCCAAGAAGCAATGCAGATTCAAGCCCTGTGATGCGAACTGACAGCACTCTATGTAAGTTTACAGAAGAATTTTTAAAGGTTTACTTTTTTTCATAAACTATTACCGAAGAAGCTTGTTTGAAAATTTCCAGTAATCTAAAATCAGACTAAACGAAACCTTGAATATCGCATCTTCTGATTGTGAGCTAGCGTAAGAGTAAATCATGGCACACAGTTACTCCCCTTCTAATCCACACAGAGCTGCAAACTTCAACCGTTTAAGTTAATTACCACAATATGTCGGCGCCCAAACACCTTGTGATATAAAATGCAATATTTTGTAGAAATGTGACACTCGTTGGAGACAGAAAACGCATGCTGTTAGTCCGCGAAAACATTGTGTCAATTAGTTGACAGTGTGGGTGTACACTACCTGTTTGCAACCGTTTCACCTTAATAGTCTGACTATCCGTTACGAGAGAATCATTCACGTTAAAGTGCAACAAACCCAAAATCATTTCCGTGTAAACGCTCACAAGGTGACATGTTCAAAGATATAAACGTTAGGTGCATGGTGTTCTAGCAAAATCTTGACCTTCCGCATCGAAACGACTACAGGGCAAACTACCGATGCCGTATGTTGCGGGCTCTATGCATGGGTACAATTTGTAGTAGGTACTAGCTGTACAGTGTGTGGGAGGTACTAATAGCCTTTGTTAACGATAAAATCCACGGTCGAAACTCCAAATTCATGCAGATTTCAATGCAGGTCTTAGAACCACGTCTTTTCAAATACATATCCACTCCACTAGGGACGCAAAGACGTCTCTAGGTTTTGAATTCCGCCGAGGGAATGGTAGCATGATATTTCGAAGTCAAAGGTCAGTAACTACATTTTAATATGCTTATTGGGTTACACGCCCAGTCATGCCTTGTAACAGTTTTGTTGACATTAACCTGCAAATTGACTTCCTTAGTCATTCAAGAACAAATTATAGACTTCCAGACCTTCGAGAGGGCGACGCTGGGGAATTTCTCCCACGCCAACACCGTCTCCTCCCCGGTCATGCCCTCCTGCTGCCCTTTGAAGATCCGGGCCCCCGTCACGGTGGAGACACCCATGCCGTCTCCCACGAAGAACACGATGTTCTTGGCCACGTTGCGGTTCAGGCTGGCTTCCCTGCTCAGGGCTTTCTGCAGTGTGTCCTGGGCCTGGTTGTTCCAGAATTCCGCACCTGAAGACCAGCACAGCCAACATTCAATTCCCAGACCAAGCAGCCTTGGCAGCAACATACAGAGGTTGGCTAAAGCACGCCCCAACGTGGCTGCAGATTTGTACCGTTTGATCGCCGTTCATGGAATTGGCAAAACTGTTAGTTATCATTTGCACTATAAAAACCATGAAGGGAGGAGTCACAGCCTACCTCTTCTATGCAACGTTTCCTAAGAGACCTAAAGGAAGACCTCCAAAATGTCAAAAGTTTCTTTTTCACGGACCATTCAGTTATACAGAGTGGAGTGATGAACACAAGGTAGCCTATTCCACCTGTGAGAGCATGAAACAGACTTTGCGGATTTCAGGGTCGAATGTACCACCACTCAACAAAGGGAGTTTCCCTTGGACTCTTGGTTGGAGGCTGAAAGAGGTCAACCCTCCCTTCTCGTCCCCCAATTCAAAGGCAGTGAGAGGCAGTGGGTGAGACAGTGTGTCCCCTTGGCCCTTTTTTCAGTGGTGGCACAAAAATGTTTTGGCGGCAATCTTCAGTGAGGTCCGTTTTGAACACAAGACAAAGGCTGTCTTGATTTTGGCATCCACAGGGGCATTTCTTCCTGTCCTGTATTTTTGTCTAAACCCTAACAAACACCATATATTCATTCTTGAAAATTAAAATTGGAATTCCAGAAAGGGGAAAGTGTCATCTTTCAAGCTATTTAGAACAACCACAGAAAAAGTGAACATGCTTTGTAGAAAGGATACAACACTTTGAACAAAAATCGTGTACTTACTTTGCGCCCGCATACAGTCGGTTAATCCGAGACAAATTATTACCACGAGCCATGTCAGACTGGACAGTTGCATCTTGGAATCGATTTCGGTCAGACAAAGGAGCAAGTTTCATAAAATGTCGACAAGAAGTTTGTGAAAAATCAGCAGTCCCAGTTGAACTAGTTCTGAACTGATGATACATAGGTGCGACTAATCTTTGTGTGCATGCGCAAACCTCTCCATTGTTACAAATGTTGTCTCCTTTGTTATCGTTGACTATGGCTCTTATCTGTATTTTTAGTTGAACATTCACCATCCAAGTCAACACTGAAGTCTTTTACGAAGAATCCGCGAATGGCACGATCAATATGCAAGCTCAAAGGGTCGTTCAAGCTCAAGTGGTTACAGAATCCATTTAGGACTGCGCCCTTTGTGAGACGCACAAAACGTTGGGGTTTAAGACTGATATTCAGTCGTGTTTTTCTACCTCAATTGAAAATTACAGCAATGTAGTGCGACGAGTGTTAACACGTCCGAGACAGGAGAAAATCCCGTAGAGATGCCACGCACAAAAGTTTGATGAACACACAAAGTACATGGTAGAATACTCAGGGTTTTAAAATTTTTGCGAAGAAAATTTCTCAAACCTGATGTGATTTTTAAAGCGGTTGTGTGCATTGAAGATTTTAGCCGCTGACACCAGCCACGCCGTCAAAAGAAAAAAATCGGAGAAGCATACCATGCTAGGTTTAACAGGATCGAGGTTCAAACAGTGTTTGAGGATATCATTTCAATGTACATTTATCTCCTAGGTAAAATTCTGGGGAAAAATAACCTGAATAACTATACGCATCCATGCTGTCCGGCTTACTTAATGAAGGCAGCTTTTTAATGAAGTAAATCATTGCGTAAATGGTTAACGTGATTCAAAATTGTAGTTATTACCAGACAACCTAATCGCATTACACGGGGCCCATCCACACGTTAACAAACATCATGACCATTGTTACGCCCCATTAAAATTAATATATATGTGGCTTCGCCCTCATCTTAATCACAGGGACTCAGGTATTTTTCACAAATATTTTAGGGTAATACAAATCAAATCTAACTTTTATCGGAATAAATGGAACCTGAGCAATGACAATCAGCCGGAGTGCTTCCCAGGCATTCCTGGCTACTCGGTTATGGTGGTGCAGTGATCATGATAAACAAGGAAGGCTGAGCAGCGTTACGCGGGTTCGATGAAGCTCTGCCCGAGGCCAGGGCATCGTCAAAACCCTGTACGTACTGACTTTAGGGACTACACATGGTCAGTACTCTCTTGGAGATTTTAATTACTGATGTTCGTGATTCGTTTGTATAATCTTCCAAAGACCTCCAACCAGTAACAAGGCAAGTTGGCAAAGGAGTTTACGAGCCCTTAACAGAGGAATATAATCCCGGTATCCTGTGTTTTTCAACTCTGTGAAGTGCAACATCGGCCATTATGTTTTATGCTGTTGATGCGTTCATTAATGAATGCTATATCAATGAAAAAAGAATTCAATGAAATCGTGACAAAACAGCCAAAATACAGGGTTGATTTATAAACAGTACTTTTAATCAAAGTGTGGTCAAATTTGAAGTCCGTATCCCCTGACATCCTATTCAAGTGAAACAAGGGCTGAGCCAATACAGCTACATATCGTAACCACCGCAACGCCATCGGTAAAAATTGGGGTGGCTCCGCCCCTCATATCTTTACAGGGATTCATTTAGCCCGATGCCAAAAATATCAGTGTGGCATCAATCAATCTTCGAGCTCGAGGGGTAATTCAAGTTTAGGCTGTTAATTATTCCATTTAGGACAAGGAATTTTACCACACACAACAAACCTTGGGGCTTTGCTAAAGTTCATCTTCAAAAGGAGAAAAAACACTCTATCTCCATCGAAAACTATGGCCAAGCATGCCATTGCGATATACCCATGTTTGCAGCTCATTTCATGGTTGCATAATACACTATGAGTCCCGAAAACATGCTGTTTTAGTAGAAAACAGATTTTATCTATTTCTGCAAAGGAAAGTATTTTGTTAAACACATATCTGTTCTACATGCTCCAGAAACTTACTTCCATGAACCCGCGATTCTTGTAGCTGGCATACACATTTTGATGCCCGACAAAGCTTTTTCACGTTGATGGCTTCCATTTTTCTTTTAGCAACACGCTGAACGGAGCCAAGCCAAACCCTCGGCGAGTGCGCCACAATTGGCCAACGCCCGGGTCATATTTTTTTCCAGTATTTAGTTTGGTGCTGTATTTCCTCTTTCCCAGCGTGTGAGCAATGAAATTTCGCATGGTCGAAATGAAAACTACCGCAGTTGCTTTACAGCAGGCATTACAGGCAGAGGTTACCCTACAGAAGTACAGTAAAATACCATACCGAAAATTTGATGATTGGCTAAAAAGTCAACAAAATGCTCATCAACTAAAAGTAAGTTGGTACACATGGGTAAAATCAATGTAAATCAGACACACGATTGGGTGTTGGCTTTTTAAGAGCGAGAGCCAATAAACAGATTATCGTCTGGTGACGACTTCAGCCTCTGAGGCATTGTTGTCAAAGATACTCAAGATACTCAATAATCCCAATTTCTCAATCCTGTAAGACGTCAGAGTTATCACGCGCTTTCAGCAGTTCTATATTACTTCATTTAATTCATATACATGCGTCTGCTTGATAAAATTCTGGAATCCCCCAAATCAACTTAAATCCAAATTCCAAATGTTTCCATGCTGATCACGTCAAAAAGGTTGACAAAGCCCGCTATTTATCTTGTAAAAAGGTGGTGGCGCGCTTCCGGAAACCTACGATAGGAAAAATAACTTGCAAACTTTTTCGTTCAGTTACTTTTTAAAACTCTACTCTTGAAAAGGCCTTATGTAAAATATTTGCTAGCATATCAATTTATAGAAACTGAAAAATTACCTGACCTAAAAGAGAAATATTATGCCAAAGATTGACCTATCACTTCCAAAAATTTGAAATACATGAAAAACAGTGCAATTCAGTAGTGTCGTGCGCAGATAAACAGTAACGGAATTATACTTCATGGTAGTCTTTCTGTAAAACCAACATAAAAACAGACCAAAATATGTTAAGAATTTCGTAATTTATAATAAAATAAACTTAAAGCAATAACCTGCTTTAACGAAAGATTCTAAAGTATAATCTAACCTCTGCTGACAAGAACTAAGTCAGATCAACTCGACTGAATCTAAAGTCCATCGATTACAGGTAGGTGAATGTTTGCAACGTTTTACCATAGAGGAAGGATACAGAAGGAGTTTGAACTGCCCAGGCTACAACATCTGGCCAATTACCGCTTTCTGGCATGTCTGGTATGTCCATAGTCAGAGGGCAGTGAACACTTGCTACGCAGCATGTGTTTTACAACCACAATACCCCTTCGTACCCTATGATCACCGCCGCAATTTATCAATGGTAGTCTGCATCCTTAAAACGTCTTGTCCTGAGGTATAGGATATTGAATGTTCATGCCATTGTTGGTGCTTGGTATGATCTCATGACAACAACAAATTTAATGTATGTGCAGTTGCTTGCATTACGCTGTGTGCCCTAAATCTTTATGTGCAGTCATTGCCTTTGATAAGCTCTTTCTTCTGGAATTTTATTTTAATAAATAGCCCGGTTGTTTACAAGATTTTGTGGGTTTGTTTGAGTCAAATTTATTATGGCATTTGTACAAGAGCACATTTTAAGAGATTTCACGATCACTCCCTGTGATGAAAAAGCGGATTCTGTTCCTAATTAACTAAGCTTTCCAGTAGTAGTGACAATTTTGTTGGCCAGTATTAGCCAAATTCATACCAAGTCTTTGAACACTGATGTATTGGACGGAGGAGAGTAAAACTACAAACTTTGCACGGACAAGTTTATTTACAATGGCAAAAGTGAGTCTAATATCAGGGATTTTCTCCATTTCATGGTCACAGCGATAATTTGTTTTTAATTGCAAGCAAAACTATATGTATTACTATAAAATTACTGGCCCTGCTTGTTCAGCTAAGATGCCCGCAGTAATCAGGCATTTGGGGCATTGTTTTTCATTTTTCATCTGAAGCAGCGGCGACCATCATTGAACACTTTTGTAGTACCTGAGTTGCAACTCCTTCTGTGTCCTTCCTCTATGGGTGTGCAGTCCCGTTTCCACGTAAGTAAGGGGGATGAAAGCGATGTGCATGAACAATGAGACCTAGGAACAATACTGCTGGGAAGTGAAAGGTCGTTAATGAAATTTGTTTTTTATTCATGTCCGGTTGACTTCCCTTCATATTACTTGACGAGGAGAAAGGGAAAATTTCGATATAATGTTTCTTTGGGTGGTTTCAGTAAGGAGTCATTCTTCCAAAAATAGTGGAATGTGATAGGACGGCCCCATGTAAAATCCCCATGGGCGCAAGGGTTCCGGAAGCTCTCTGGGTGAACTTTTACTTTCAGGTTCTATTACCTCACTGGCTATTCAAATTAATTAAGGGTTGCCCATGTTTAAAAATATCGTGACCATTGCTACGCCCCCGGTTAATAATGACGTGGCCCCGCCCTTCACACCACCACAGGGATTCACGTATTCCTCGCAGTGTTTCTTGTCCCCCAGACAGGCGGCGTAGCGCACCACGTGCGCCATGTAGTTCTGCTCGTGGACACCGTGAAAGAGGTGCGACATGGGCCCGTTGGCGTAGATCGCCACGTCCTCCCCACCGTGAGTTTCGGAACCCTTGGGGACTATGGCTGGTTGAATGAACCGCGGAGTTTCTGGAAGTAGTACAGCGTTTTTAGATTTTAGCAAGTTCCCTCTGAGGGAAATCAATTTACGAACTGTGCCTGGCAGTTGCTGAAGATTTCGAAAAGCACGCCAATCCAATCAACCACTGCTATTAACAGACGGGGCTTTCAAAGAGCGTGCAAAGGTTCCAGTATAACACACTACAATAATTACAACAACATTCTCAATGTCATTTTGTGTGGCGGTTGGCACAAAAAAGGAAAACGGGATATTATTCAATCCGGCTTGTGTTGTACAGTGAATATATAAGGGAAGGAAACGTATGATGATGTCCGTGGTACTTCTTTTGTTTTTTATTTTTTATGCACTCTCATTTCAATTGAAAATGATCAATGTTTAGGAAATTTTATAATTTACCACTTGCCTTGAAGTTCATTTTTTTTCCAAGACAAAAGTTAACCTTACAAAGCTTTACGGCTCTATCATCTAATTCTCTTTCTTACCTGTGTCTACGTCGGTGAGGTTTCGTCTTGAACCCGAAAGTTTGTAGCTGCTTTGCTCGGCAATGCCCCCTGGTCCATTACTGTAACCGATCGTGGTGAATGGGAGATCGTCATCACCGACTCCCAAGTCGTACAAACCTGAAACCGCGAAATCCAATGTTACATTTTGTTTGTCTACAATTCGCAGAAAAAAATCGGTAAGCTTTGCTTCGTTTAATCAGCTTATAGTAAAATTACATGTAAAACTGTCTTTTAGTGACTCGTTGTCAGAAGTATTTGCTTACTAAGCTAGCAAAATTTCTAAAGCAAAGATCTATGGTAAGAGGGTAACCTAAACAGTACAAGGTTGACACCATGCTTGGAAATTAACCGAAAGTTAAAGTTTCGTTAGTTAACCCATTATCTTCCACAAAGACAATAACAACCAATACTACCTGCAACTTACACTTGCACGTAGGCTTATAGCTTCCAATTGGGACTTGCATAAAGGTCTGTTCGTACTAGAACGTCCGTGGGCACCTGACCTACAGGTTATCAAGAGTTGTTGGGGTTTCTTGGTCAGGGAGCTAGACTACTATGTAAAATGTAAGTGGAATCTTAAATTTGAAAAGTTTTTCTTTCGCGCCAATACAGAGCTTATACCCTGTTAGGACATATTTTTGTTTTAAATTCAATGAAAAGAATTTATAGATCGTTTAAAGACATATATGAAGATCTCATTTCATCGCGGGTACATTGTGCAGGCCCTCTATCAGTATTCCTCGTAAAGTGCTAACTGAAGGTCATTGTACATGTTACCTAAAATAGGATTGCCCCGGCTAGGGTAGCCGCCTATGGTCATCACGTGGCTATGGTCGGCTGTGACAATTACTAGCGTGTCTTCCTCATTGGTCATTTCCATTGCTTTGGTAACCGCTGCTTCAAAGGCTACGGTATCGTTGAGGGCATTGCCTGCGAAGCCGCCATGGTGGGCGTGGTCTATACGGCCACCTTCAGACGAGCGCATACAACAAAAAAAATACAGCAACAGGGTCATAATTGTTTCCAACAAACTTCTTCACATTATGAATAAATTGCATTTTCCCACGTGGTACGTGTAACGGCAAGGCCGACATGTTTAGCTTTACAGGGTTCAATGTGAGGAGAACCATATTAAGTTTCTAACTTAATCCGGAGCAAAACATGCGCAACATTTTTCTTCTTTGCACACAATTCCCAACGGCCACATGGTTATATGCACTGCCGTGCCCACGTACCCTACCACTCATTAACGCCAACTAATGGCATTCAGCTATGCTTACCCTCTACCATTAAGAAGAAACCGTTTGTGTCTTTCTGCAGGATCTGAATGGCCTTCTCTGTCATTTCGGCGATAGACGGTTCGTTGGTCCGCTCAGCCTCATACTGCATGTGACTGGCCTCGAACAGACCTGTAACACAGAATCAGTAGTTGATGAATATCCGTGCAGGGCGCAGTACGGCCGCCAAGAGTTCACACACAAGGCAAACCATCGTGCCCTTGAGTGTGTACGCTATCTTATCTTCACCTTTTTCTCGAGAGCTGCGGCATGGTTCTGCATCGAACCTCCCTTCCTTGGAGGAAGAAGGTTATCCGATGCTCTACAAGCAAACCGGTACGTTTTGCTGGTAGACCCCTCCCACACGTCCATCCGGGGGGGGGGATCTACAGTGCTTACCGTACCCGTAGAAACACTTAAATGCAGAGTAGCACCTAACTCAGGAGGTGGGTGGGAGATGGTACTGTGTGACAGGATTGAGCAAGGGTTAATTACAGATACGTGTCCATGACTGAAAGTATGGTAATACGAGTAAGCTAGGAGAGACAAAGCCAAGCTTACCATAACCCTGTGCCTAATGTCGAAGGAAGCAGAGTGTAAGTGTATTGGAGGATTTCCAGCACGCTGTTTGTAAAATGTCTGTTTACTAAGTGGAACTCCCTTAAAGTAAGCCCATGAGGTTGCTGCTGCTCTGATATCCTGTGCTGTATAAAAAATCAGGAGTTCTGTTCTGATGAAGCCAGCCAGTTCTGATTGGTGGACTGGATAGCTGTTGCGATCCTGCTCGTGACTGTTTCTCGAGATGCTGGACATGAGGAAGAACCGATGTGATGAAATGACTCGTAACATCTCCCCGGATGAATGTGGTCCAGTTGAGATACCACTTCATGGCTCGAAGTAGCCACCAGTTCTTATCTGCAGCACAGCTTAGCCGAAGTGAATGCTCGGAACGAACGTATCATTAGGAACAAAAGGAGTCTGATTGGGTCCATTGAGGAACGAGCCCTGATGAACCAATCTTACTCAATGTGGTTCCCAGAGAATTATGTCCAGGGTCATTTGGTGAGGCCCGAACTTCGCTCCCCGTCACGATCAAGCTTCCACAGTGCATGACGACGGCGGGTCCTATGAGGGGAGAGCTTTATTACGAGTGGGAGACTTCGCAATGAGCAATTCGCGGAAAATGTAACCCTAGTCGTGGTTATGTAAGACTTTTGAGCTGTCGGGGAACCTTCCATGAATGGCCACAATGGCCGACCATTAATTTCTTTATGACGGCTTCTGAGAGACCAGCGTTGAACAGGTAGATGAAGAAGTCGCCAACAACGGTCAGAGTAAAATAGATTGAACCGATAGCGTCCCGCCCATGCCATTTATAGTAACTGCCAACGAGGCAGCTTCTACCGAAAGGCCACTTCGTTCGACAATACCCAACAAGTCAAGTTGAGACTTTCGGAAGCTGGATGACTTATGTTTGAACTCCATTTGGAACAAAAATTCCGGATGATATAGAAGGACCAACGGGTTGTGGACCGGCAGACTGATGAATCATGGGAACTAAAGCTGCAAGGCTTGCAATGTTCCCCGTCCGATTTTCAGGAGTACCAGTGCGATCGGTGATATCAACGGAAATGCATATAAGGACATTCTGGTCCAAGGGATTGAGAGAGCACCAGTATGCCATGCCAGAGGTTCTGTTTTTTGAAGCAAAAAATTGTAGTCAGTTGTGGGCTTGTGATGCAGACAGGCCTATGTATGGGTGATCGATGGGCAGGAAGCCCTGTTCGGGGTTTTTAATTCTATTTGCTGGCCGATGAGGTAGCCTGGAGAGGGCATCATGGCATCGGCCACAGTGTTGTTCGTGCCTAGGACGTACGTGGCTGTCAGAGTTATACCAGATTCGCGGTTTCAATGCGGCATGTCCCATGCGAAGAGAAAAGCTGGTATGGCCGCTTGTGTGCCTTGCAGATGATGCACGCTACCACTGTGGTGTTGTTGCATTTGATGAGGACTGTGCGGCCAAAACACGGGGTCTCTTGTCCGGGAGATCGCTGTTGTCCTAGCCGAACTCCTCTTTTAATGGGATATTTCCATAACAAGAAAAATGAATACAAACGAGACAAAACGATTCTACTATTTACGAAATAGATTAAGTAAACATTCCCTCAGCGGATGGAGGATGGTGAAGACAAATCTGAGAGATTGACGAAGGAAGTTTTATGATCAATCACGCCAAGAGAGGAGAAGGGAAGATAAGATGGCAGATATGCCGCATGGCACAGTGTGTAGCCTCTCGTTTGAACTGTTAGCAGAGATATCGGACCCTCTCAGAAAATATGTATTTGTTGTGGCTTAACGGGTAAGATGAGCACTATTTTGTTTGCAAGTGACTTTTATCACACGCGTACGCACAACGAATTATTTGCTCCCATTGGTTGAACGGACAGGTTCCGTGTTAACTTCCGGTTCCCAGATGTAACTGTATGTGAGGTAGGCGTGGTTTGAACTTAAGTGATGTCACACTTACAAAACGGATACACTCCACTAGCTTCAAACAGAATATCCTCGTGCGTATAAGCGAGATGCAGAAATTTCTTTCTCAGGTCTATTTTTCCGCCTTATGCCACTGATCGATGAGACTCATCCACAGGTATCAAAACAAATGAGAGAAAGTGCATGAACTGGACGAGGAAGTCGACCTAGTAACCCGATATTGGTCTAACACTTTCAACGATGCACGCCTCAGTGGAAAACGAGCGCACAAAACGGCGCTTGTCAAAATTACATCCTCCTTGTGTAGAGGTGAAAAGCTATGTGCTGTCTAAAAGTTTAGAATTCCATAGATCAGCAGAGACCTTTTTTTTTAAAGGGATGTCTTTGCTAAGTAATACCATAAATCGTGTTTTTCCCAAAGAAGGCCCAATAACAGTAGGCCTTTACCCTTTTTTTCTGTTGCAGGGGGCAAAATAGGAAAGGAATACATACCAAGGAGAAACTCAGTGCTTTCGGGATCCACGTTATTAAACTGCTCCAGGTTCCACACAAAGTGACTCGTTTGGGCTTTTTTACTGGCCAACCATTCATCTGTGAAGAAAGGCTAAAAGTCAGACGGGCAGAAGAAAATAAAATCTAATAATTAGGTTGAAATTCGGGGACTTTTATTGTCAAATTTCTTAATGAGTGGGTCGTCTACAGTTGATTACGCCGTTGCTGAAGTGGCAACATGCGTCATAATGCAGAGATGCATAAAAGCGACAAAAAAGGTCCTTATACAATTCTGGTTTGCATTAAATTCTTTTTAATATTTAAAAGATAAAAACGTTTGTTTTCTCTATGTTTGTAGGAGTATTTAAATCTATTGTCTACATAAGATTACCTATAAGATTCCGTCCGTCTGTTCGTTGACCTTTCAAGTGTGGATATTCGTAATCACTGAAGTTGTTAGGTGTCATCTCTCGTCTACCCCCGCCCATGATGACCTGGGAATAGATGACAAAATTTATAGCAGTTCTGTCTGTAGTTTAGCTATACCAAGAATGATGCAGATGGGAGAACCCCCCTTTTCCAATGCAAGCAAGCAATTGATACCAATAACTGGAACGCGCAATTTCGAATTTGAGTCTACGAGAACCGCAAGAAAATGGATAAAAATCGAGTGTGGCCAATCTCAGGTGGAACACGACCGTGTGCTTTTCTCACTGACACATAATTAGCAAAGCACATCTAATGATTTAATTAAAATACCACGATAATGCAACACCAGGAGACGGCGGACAAAGCCAAAAGGCAGCCACCCATCTCAACACATAAAGTTCATTATACTTACAGATGTGGTGTGTGCAAAAAGCATGCCTGATGAAGTTTACCACTCCAGCATTCAAAGGTTGTATAATATACCGAAACCGAGTGTCATGTACTGCTTAATAGAAAGTTTCAGCAGAAAACAGTTCACCAACAAAGTGACATTCATTCACGCATGCGCATAGATGACCATGACAGGTCAAATGTGTAAAATCGGTTCGTTGGAAATGCACAGGGGCAAGAACTTCGCGGTCATTTTCTCCCAGATTCTTCTTTTTTTTTCGTTTTCATTTTCTTTTACTTTGGGCTCCGTAACCTAATAACTATGAACCTTTGTTAAACCCTGTCGCCAACGGAAGTTATTAATCTTCACTCTTTATATCGGTGTGATCTTGTTTGATTTCTCTGTTACATCTGAGAAACTTCGGGCTTTTTGAGTGATTTAAACTCATTAATAGAGCTAGGACACTTTCGGATTGTAGGGATGCAAGTTTAAAAGGGTTCATCGGACAGGTCAGGACGAATCTCAACATTAAGCCTTGATTCTTTGCCTGAATCAAGACTGCTTCACCTTGGTGTTCTTCCCCAGCGTGACCAGTTGGTGTGCGATATCGGTGCATCCAAACGCAGCTTCCTTCTCCGGGATGTCCCTGTTGTTCTCCCAGCCACGGTCTGGCGAGTGCGCGTACAAACTAGACGGTGTAGCGTGAGTCACGCGGGCTGTTGTCACAAACCCTGTTGCCTTGCCTGAAAAATAGCGCAATTTTAATGAACGTTCATAATCATTTGTGTGTTTCACAGGATCAAATGACGAGATAATACCAAGAAAAAAACACACAAAAAAACATCAAAGGCAACCACAATGAGCGAATAAATCTAATCAGTCCAAACGAAAAACAAACAAAAACAAAGAGCCGTCAAAGGAAAGATCAAATGCACAATAACTGCATTATCGCACGAAGGAAAACACATCACACTGCAGAAGGGGTATGAGATTTGGTTACCTTCCTTTTCGGCATCAATCATGACCGAGTCTACTGCAGCGTTCAAGCTGGACTGGCAGTTTCCCGCTATTGCCGAATCGTCTAGCCCAATTATTTCCTCCTTGGTTTTGACGCCGCAAAAGTACGCTGTGGCCGTGCCAGCCGAGTCCGGTACTTGCCGGTTAGTATTGTAGGTCTGCCGGTTAAGGAGGGGGACAAATATTAATGTTCAGCTATAAGAAGCATGAGGAAGGAACAGGACAAGTGAAGACACTGCGCGCTCGTCATTGTCGGTGCCTTATATTAGTCCAACTGTCAATTCAGAAGCATTTGAGGGTGGGTATGAGGGGTATAAGCCCCTCTTCATTGTCAGCCATGGACCAATAGTACCAGTGCCGGAAGTACTCTAGGCAGTGTTGGAGTCGAGTCCTCAAATCCAAGTACAGAGTACTCCGACTACTTTAGGGGCCGAGTGCTGGGCCGAGTCCAAGTACACTGGTAACGAGTCCAAGTACATCAAAGGCCGAGTACTGGGCCGAGTCCAAGTACCTTAGTCCGAGGAGATTTGCAAAGCAGTACAATAAACAAATAAGTAAATAATTAAAACTGGATTACACAGGCATCTTCATGCAATACAAATCTGCATTACCATGTGGATATTCACACCTTTTATTCGTGTGAAAATGTCGATGCATAAATTACCATTTCTAAACAATGAGGCTTATGAACACCTAACGAACTCCCGATGATCCTCATAGCCACATTTAATTATATTTGAAATCGACGATATATTCAACGAATGAAAAGGCCAAGAAAAGTGAAATATCTGAACTTCCGAATCCGAACTTCGGCAATGGTCTCTGCACGGAAACATGTACAAATGCGTCGTCCTCAAGTGCACGCACAACGTACCGCTAAAATGTGGCATAACTCTAGCCTGTCTCGGGATTCACAAATCAGTACTATATCCGCGGTGTGGAGACGGGAACTAGACAAAAACCTTTAATTAAAGATCAACCCTCTTACCCAGAGAGCGTTAAGCCGCCGCGCCCAGCGCGGTCGATGCATTCGAGAGGAATCGATTAAGCGCTGTACTCGAATTCTACCTTCGGGTACTGGAACCGAGTACTGAGTACTTGATGTTCGAGTACATCCAAGATTCGAGTACAAAAATAGAGTCTAGGCCAAGTCCAAATGATTGCTAGATGGATGATAGATTGGGTGAGGTGTGGGTGGACAGTCAAAGAGTGAATTTGGTCAGTTCAGATTTGAATCTTGAGACGTGAAGTCGGTGTGCTGCTTTCGATGATTGTACCTCCCACCCAAGAGCCACAAGGCGTAGTGCCAAAGCTGTACCAGGCCAAGAGCGGCTTTTAGGCAGCGATAAGTTCGTCAAGCTAAAATTTCTGCAAACATGTAGCTGCTGTTTTAAGTAAGTTTTGACGGCTTCACCAGCACACACCACATATTAAATATTTATTCAGCCATCCATCACAGCCGTAAGTTCCTATTTGGATGCCTGTAATTAATAGAGTATTGCTAAGTAGTTTGAAAATGTTTAAGAGAACTTGTTGAATTTAAAATTGTATGATTTTGCAGTACCAGAAGATAACAAGTGGATTTTGTATGTTTAAGTGTTGTGATGAGTTTTTGGATTTAATGGAATAACCTGGTAAAACTCTTGAAAGCATATACATGTATTTAGAAGCATTGAAGTGCCTTGAAATAAAGAAGATTTATGGCCCTGATCAGGAAAGCAGGAAAGCGGTTCTGGTTAAGACGTACATGTAACAGAAACTTTGACTGTGCAATTAAAATAGAAAGGAATGTAATGATCAAGGTTTATTATAGATATGCAATGTCTTTGGAAGTCCATTTTATTATGCAACAATTTATAGATGGTTTTCTGATAGGTTACAAAACACCCCGCTGTACCACTGTCCTAGTCTGATGAGCACAGAGACCGAGCTAAGGTGCACAAACCAAGCAGGAAGACTGGGACTGCAGTTACCCAACAGATCTCTCTGCTTAGCCATATCGAGAAGTCGGTACATGTATCTATTTAACAACATTAAAATAATTGATTATCTGATTGTATAATTTTTAAATAAGTCTTTAAATCATTTGAAGTAAGTCTTGAAGTTCTTATATCGTCTGTCAATGTGTAGCCACAGTTACTTTTATGACACTATAGGAAGTAAGAGAAATGTGTAAATAAGCACTCGATCCGACTATCCACCGCTACTTGTGAGGCCTGTGCAGCAAAATAGCATGCAAAAACTGTGATGCTAATATACTTTCGTATGATGCAATACAGGAGGCAAACTTTTAACTTAAGTGAGTCTAGTTAGCATTGCAAGCAGAAGGCTCGAACAAGTGTCACTTATACGTTTGCTACTGTATTGCATCATATGATAATGTATTAGCATCACAGTTAGAGCATGGCTATTTTGCTGCACAGGCCTCACTTATAAGTAGCAGTGCGTAGTCGGATCGGGTTCACCAAGAATACTTGAAATTTAGTTGAAGAAGTTAATTTGTTTTCTTTCATTGTGTTATGAGACAGTGTAGGTTTTTTTTTAAGTGAGAGAACCGTTCAGGATACACAGTTGAATTTATTCAAAATATCCTGACAATGAGCGTTACCGTTTTTACAAAATCAACTACGAACACGGTGGTTTTTACAACATCACAAATTCAAAGATATCTTAAAACGTCTCGAAACGTACCTTAATCTGTGCGCATGGTCACTGGTGTGGGGGTGAAGTTTATGACACTCTTTGCATGCTAGTGTAGGTATGAGCATCCTGAGCCTTCTGCTAACAGGATTAAAGAAATCCTTGCCCACTACCGTTTCCATTTAATCTACAAACTTAATCAAGAAGTTCGACTTAAATACAATCATGGGTAGAAGTTTCAACAAAACCGACGGTTTGCCCTGTTTAAATGATAGTTAAACTACCAAGGCCGCCTTCAACCACCTCGAACCCCTCGTCACTGACGATGGAACCCTTGCAGCTGGTGGTACTCGATATAATGGTTCCTCTGGTATGGCAGGCAACCACTGAAACACGCAAAGTGCAATCCCCCTATACATGAACATGTCAATACTTCTTCCACCCTAATGTTCATAATATACATCAACTTTGGAAACGTTCAAGGCAGTCATAAGCAAGCTGAGAAACAGAAACGCAGCTGGGCGCGACCACATTCCCCCACGATTCATGATGTACGCTTTCAACCCTACCAATTCAGCCTTCCACAAGCTCTTTACCATGGTGCAGTAGTCCAGCAAAGCACCGGCAGAATCGACAGATGGCATCCTCATCGTCCTGTAAAACCAAAAGGCGCACGTATCGATTGTAACAGTTAAACTTCCGCCTGTTCCTGGAAAACGTTTGTCCATGTATTACTGCCATGTTTGGATTCTCCACACATGAATATCAAAGGCAACCTGTGCAGTCCGGTTGTACTGCTGTGCGCCCCATATAGTTGACAGTATTCTTGCCCTTCACCTGAGGGCAAGAATGAAGTTCACATATAACGCGAGCTGCAGCCCCTCTCCTTTGTTTATGTTAACCCGAAGGCGGCTTTCGACTTGGTCGATGGGGATACACTCGAGCAACCTTTCGACTCCTGGGAGATGGCTGCCTGAACACTTTCTAAACGTCACTGAAGGCGTCCATACAATAACACTGTAAAGATCTGAAGCACCACCACACCCAGTTTCACATTAAGATCAAGGGTAAGACAGGGATTTATTTTAGCCCTACCCCTCTTCTGCTGTGCTATGGATCCTGCACCTTAGAACAGCAAATGTAGGAGGGCCTGGGTCAGTTCAATTCTCAGACAGATTTTGTTCTAATTAACCTTGCAATCACTTTATTGCAACAAAAGCATCCTATTTATTCCTCGAGATCTCCTGGCAGAAGACCAAAAGAAAAATATACCTGGAGACGTAGTTCTCCCGGCACAGACAATCCATTGAGGCTGTCAACGCCTTAATATGACTTGAGGTGAGCCGAGGTGAGCATGATACTCTAAGGAGACTAGGTGTAGCCTCCTCAGCCATGAACAGTTTACACAGAGTGTGAAGGTTTATACTCAACACACAGTACATAGACGTATTGGGTCTCCGATTCTTTTCTATCCGTCTGACACATAGAATCCCCTAGACACCTACCCGAGAGGACTCGAGACATTCCACTATGGTTGCAAAAGGACTACCCTTGGCATTCGTCGGTGCGATCGCATATCCAACGCAGAGGTCACACAAAGAACCAAAATTCCAACCATTAGTCACCCAGCGCGTCACCGCAGGGGTGTTTTCTTCTGTCACACTGCCCCCCCCCAACTGACAACACCCCTACAAAGAAGGCACACAACATCGCCATTATATTAACTGTACAGGTAGAATCCCTCGGCACCTACATCTGGTTGAGACCATGAGACAACCCCAGGAGGGGGAGCGAGTTAGCGTAGTGGTTCGAGTCTTGGCTTAATTGGCCCAGGCTTTAAGTGCATTTGGTTTCCACTTCAGTCTCGCTCTCATAGATTTCTCTGGGTACTCCCAGTCTCCTGCCTCTAAAACGTGGACCTTCCTAACTCCGTTATATGATGCTGATTAATAAAGGTTGTAAAAACGTAACCCTATTTTTTGGCGAAAATAGCCTGAGTGGCTGAAAGTGCTTTAAAACAAAACAAAACAACAACACCAGGACATAATGGTTTGAGTTACTGGGACCACCCAGCAGAGTCGCTAGGCTCTGGAAACACTCTGCTAAATTAACAAAAACATAGATCAGCTCGATGGACATGTCTATGCGATTGAGTGAGGGATCATGTATTTTCGTATCAGCCCTCCAGTTTTGTAGGCCCTGAATTTGTTGCAGTGCCTCCCGTGCCATCCATGGAGAGTTGCCGTCTGATGTAAAATGGTATCCATTCTGCCGCCCTTCATTTCACGTCTTCTGTTCAGTGAGCTTCGTTGGGAGTCAACATTCTAACAAAAGGGAGCGAATGTTCACTCACACGGAATGAGCTTTTATGTTATTGACTATGATATGTCTGCAGCGGCAAATATCGTCCGGCACAAACGCCTTGTATTGTAAAGTGCGGTGTTTGTAGAAATGTGGCAACCACAAATTACAGTGATAATAAGGCTACTATTCATACACATGAACACTGTACTAACAAATTGCCAGTGTGTACACAACCTCAACGCAACCGTTTACACCCCTATAATTGTCTGATTTACCCATGAGAGAACTATTTGAGGTTAAGGTGCAACAGCACAAAGTAAATACTCAGGTGATGACTTCCTTTTCAAAGATGTAGCCGGCTTTATCAAAAAATAAACTTTGCATGATGTTCTCGAAATGTTGACCTTCTGCACAGAAAATACGAGCTAGGTAAAATTGTTGAATCTTTAAATTCAGCTGAAAGAGGGGAAATTCACAAGAGCAATCATTCCATCTCTGCAATTTGGAACATATTTATTTTGACAATCAAACATTATGAGTTATAGAGAGTACTACGTGTTACATTTTTAAACCAGAATGTATGAACGCTTATCTAAATCGGGTATACTTTTAAGGTTATAGGTGAGACGTTAGTGGCTTTTTTGTACCAGTTGGTTACTCTGTACCAAATATTTAATTTTACAACAAATCTGTGACTTCCAGACCTTCGAGAGGGCAACACTGGAGAATTTCTCCCACGCCAGGACCGTCTCCTCCCCGGTCATGCCCGCCTGCTGCCCCTTGAAGATACGGGCCCCTGTCACAGTTGAGACACCCATGCCGTCTCCCACGAAGAACACGATGTTCTTGGCCACGTTGCGGTTCAGGGTGGCCTCCCTGCTCAGAGCTTTCTGCAGTGTGTCCTGAGCCTGGTTGTTCCAGAATTCTGCACCTGGATGCCAGAATAGCAAAGGTTAAAGTTTCCGACTGAGTCTAAGGGGTGAGGGAAACACGCATCCCAACCAACGGAGGTTTGTGACCCATGATCCCCACTAAGACTGGAAAAGACAAGGCCATTCATCATTATACTACTTATTATGAAAAAAAAGATACTATTCACATTTTAAGAAACCGATGAGCCCCATACCACTTCAAAAATAACTGTTCCTAAAACTCAAGTTCACAACATGTAAATTTACATGGAAGGAAGGCATTTATGTCTTCCCTCCATGGGCATAAACGACAGTGGGATGGGAATATTGCATCATCCCCCAATTTGTTCGTGGTAAAAAAAATAAGGCAAAGAATCCGTCTTACTCCCCAAGGACTAAACCGGGTTCAATTGCTCTCAAAAAGTGAGAACAGTTTTGGAAGTCCATAAAGACACCATTTTGAATTTTTTGATGTATGAATCTGCAGGAGTGTAGTGGACAGTACAGATGTACATCTGTATCACAAACATCGGCTTCAGGTGTTATATGGTTCATCAACCAACCCCATTTCCACTTTTCAAACTTCCTCGACCGGCCAAGTCACCCCCAACAACCCCCATCCCTCATCCACCCAGTCTCAAGTCAAATGCAAACACGCCTAGGGGTTAGATGGTTTGTGATTTGTGCCAGTCTGTTGATGAACCCATGTGACTATCAAGCGCACAACTATGTGTGTAAAAGGCGTTAGCGCGAGAACCATCTCGTGAACCGACACGCGCACCACCACCAGTCGTTTGCACTACGCTTCCTTGACGTCACGCTTCGGTACTCTATACGCACCTCCAGTGCTACCACAAAAAGCGTTGGGGCGGTAATCTTCAGCGAGGCTCGTTTGAACACAAGCAATGGATGTTTGGAATATCAACATCGACTCATCTATTTACTCCTTCTCTGTATTTGTTTTGGAATGTATTTGATCTAGAATTCCAGTAAGAGGAAATCTCTCCCTTTCAAGCTATGAAGACTAACCGGGAGAACTATTTAGGTAAATAATGGACTAGTATGGGTGCACACAATACTTTGGGAAAAATATCTACTTACTCTGCGTCCGCGTCCGACCGACAAAAGTAAGACAGAAAAGTACCGCGATCCACGTTAGTTTGGAGGAGTGCATCTTGAAATCGATTTCGGTCAGGCAGTCGAGCTACTTGCCAAAAAAAGTCGTCCAATAGTTTTGGCAAGTCAACAGGAGGACGAGTCACATAAATTGATACGTTTGGCAACGGTGCTTGTCAATATTTAATCATACGAGCAAACGCCTCCCCATTATGATGATATTACAGTCTCCTTTTATCGAAGAGTCTCTTATCTCGTTTTGCATAGGCAAACTGTTATTTACCCTAAGCCTTAAGCCAAAAACTCGACTATGCCCGCTGGAGAAAAACGCGAATGATATCAGTGTGGCATGGCATCGATCAATCTGCGAGCTCAAAGGGTAATTGAGGCTTAAGTAGTTAATTATTCCATTGGGGACTAGGCTCTTCACCAGACACATGACTAAAATTAACTCTTTAAGGGTGGATCCAGGAATTGTTTTCGGGGAGGGGGCAGGCCTGAGCTTTTTTAATGCCTCATTTTTGCGGACAAGCGGAAACGGTAGTGAAACATTACATGACATAATCTGTTTGCAATGGTATTGATGTTTACTTGTGCGCTTTAGTTAATTGTTATTGCTTTCCCCCCATTTTTCTACCTTGCTTTTAACTTTTTATAAAATGACTCTCCCTATTTTTTTTTTACCTTTTTGGTCTCAGAGCGGAAGGGGGAGGGGGTTGACCCCCGGTCCAGTTTATCTGCGCCTGCTCTTGCAACGGAGAAAAAAAATCTACCTCCATAAAAAAATTATGGGCAAGTGACTGCAACGGGAGCTTCGACTCCCACGATTGCAGTCCATCGCAAAAAAAGCTCAATGAGCACAGAAGTTTTCCCTTGGTAGAAAACAGGGCTTTATATTTCTCCCAAGGAAACTGTTTTGTTCTACATGTTTTAGAAATTTATGTTCATGAATCCGTGATTGTTATAGCTGGTATAAACATTTTGATGTCTGGCAAAGACGGTTGATGGCTTCATTTTGTTCTTTTAGTTTTACCAATGAATAGCTGCAACGCAGTGTACCGCAGTCTTCCCCTCAGTCACAGTTTTATTGAAAGGATTAGTGTCCGCCCAATGCCAACCCTCGCTAGCGTGCCACCGATGTCCAACACCCAGGTCGTTTTTTGTCGGTATTTAAGTTGGATTGTAGCAGCCTCATTCCCACGGGTACGATCTTGCTGAGTCATGTTGGTTCCCAACATGCCATGCGCGATTTTAACCCCTGTAAATTGTATAATTTAAAAATCCTGCTATTTGGGTAATTTAATTTCAACTGTAGTGGAAGTGTTTACGCACAAAGCAGATAAACGAGTGCGTACAGTGCAGGAGAAAACTGGGCGCGAGCGTGTAGCTTTTACAATACCTTTGTGATTCACTTTACGTTTATGTATTTTCATCCTGAAAAGCCAGTCAGCGTCATTTTCATATTTAACTAGACCAGGGGCTAGTGTGCCACAGCCCATGGAGTCGAAATGCTTTACAGCAGGGATTGTAGGCAGGGATTACCTACAGTAATTCTGTAAAAATGTACTTTGCCGATTGACTAATCGGTAAACAAAATACCAATTAATCAAAACTAAGTAGATGAAATGAATTTGACACACAATGACACAAAACTTTGAATGTTGGCGTTTTATAGTACTATAGTGACGGTCAATAAACAGATTTAATAGTGATATATCATGAATTTAATGATTGACTAAGCAGATAAAAAATATTGCTAATTATTTCAATGGGGGTTAATCCTACCAATTCAAATCAATAACACGAACAATTTTCGCAGGATGTTAGCTTCTTTTAGCACTGTAACAACGTCAAGAAACACGTCGTACTGCCTGATGATGATTTAACCGCTGCTGCAGGCATTGTAAGTCACATAAACCTTTAAGATATGAATAATGCCCCACATTTAGACATGAGTGACTTCATCATTACTTATGTTGGTTTATAAAGTTATCGAGGATTTCATTCATTTCATGAACATGTATCTGGTATATCAAGTTCTTGATTAACCCTTAAAAAATCACGTAAATCACCACTTTCCTAACTTTTCTATGATGACCACGTTAATAATATTAATGGAACCAATTTAGCCTTTTTTAAGTTCATCACCGCAACGACTACAAGACTTGTCATAATTTTAGTCGATATTCCCACACTGGCTATTCACATAAAATATGGGTAGTCCATATGTTCAAAAATATAGTGGCCACTGTAATAAATATTGACGTGGCTCCACCCTTCACACCATTACAGGGATTCACGTAGTCCTCGCAGTGTTTCTTGTCCCCCAGACAGGCGGCGTAGCGCACCACGTGCGCCATGTAGTTCTGCTCGTGGACACCGTGGAAGAGGTGCGACATGGGCCCGTTGGCGTAGATTGCCACGTCCTCCCCGCCGTGAGTTTCGGAACCCAGGGGGACAATGGCCGGTTGATTGAACCGCGGAGTTTCTGAAGATAAGAAGTTTCGTGTTTTAAGATTTCAGAACAGTTTCTGCTCGGGGAATGCTGTTAACAAAATAACTTTTTCCAAAGTAATGTATTCATCCTGGGAAGAAGCCAGTCGATCTGACTTTTCACCGCTATTAAAAAAAACGGGTTATTTTCTACAAATTCACAGTTCCAGGCCTGCCAGTATCACATATTAATAGGCGCTTAATAAGCAAAGAGGTTGGCGTGGTTCGAATCCCATTGAAGTATTTTCTTGGAATAATCCGTCTTAAAGAGTTACTTAAATTACTGTCCATATTTGCAGCGTTAAAGTTTTTCCAAGAACAAAGACACTTCAACCTGTTATGACTTCAGCTTCAATTATTTGTGTGGAAGCCAAATCCGTCAAACCATAACTTTTTTTTATCAAAAGTCTCGTTAAACTCGGTTGGTAGTCACATCTGGTGAATAAGTACCCGGTGAGAAAACAAAATGATCCATTGATAATATTCAATATTTTTTTCTATTAATTTTAAAGGGATGGGAGGGCCCTGAGATGAAAGGAATGATATATTAAATACCGTGGAATGTAGCAGCAGCCAAGGTTTCGAGAATAACATATGAATACGTTGCATGTAGTTTAAACTTATGTCTCTTACCCGTGTCCACACCGGTGAGGTTTCGTCTTGCACCCGAAAGGTTGTAGCTGTTTTGCTCGGCAATGCCCCCTGGTCCATTACTGTAACCGATCGTGGTGAATGGGAGATCGTCATCACCGACTCCCAAGTCGTACAAACCTGAAACCGTGAAAACCAACTTTATTTTCGTTTGTCTGCAAACAAAATACATTACTTGTCAGTTTTTGTCCACTGCAGAGCTTTCCTTGGTAAAGGAAGGTTACGGTTAAATACACGTGATGCTATGACACGTTTTCAGCGGTATTTATTCACTGAACACGCAAACTTTGGTAAGCAAAGATCTACGCAATGCAAGGGCACAGCGTTGATAAGGCCGTTTTAAACTTCGTGACGGAGGATGCAGCTTAAATCTCACTGTATGTTCAATCTTCGCCAGTCGATAACGTTTCTTCCACAAAGACAATGACCACCATTACTGACTTTCTCGCACTAATATATATATATTGTATTTATAGCTTTCCATACAGGGTTTGCACCAAGGTCTCTTCGTATTTGACCTTGGCGGGTACGTGATCTTTACCATGACTGTTGAGAATCCTCGGGCTTCCCTGGGCAAGGAACCGACTCAATATACAGTTTGACAGACTATTTCATGGTTTGTTCCTGCCTATATAGAGCTTGCCCATATCTAGATAGTTTTTTTTTTGTTTTAAACCCAGTTATAGAGAAGGTAAAGAACGTTTAGGGGTAAAAGGATTTAATTTTATCGAGAGTGTACAGTTCGAGCTCTTTATACGTGGGTAATTCCAGAAATTAGGGGTCCAAAAGTGTGACATTTTTGTGTTCCTGTTACATCTGACCTTTGCTATTTGACATGGGCATATCACGGAACTGATTTTCAAACTATTACTATTTGTTTGGCAGGTAACTTGCATTAATTAATCACTCTTGGAAGGTAGAAAATGTGTATTGAACTTCCAAAATCATATGTTAAATGTGACAGGGACACGAAAAAAAAATGGATCCCTAATTTCTGGAATTACCCACCTGCATTCCTCGTAAAGTGCTAAATCACTGCCATAGTACACGTTACCTAAAATAGGGTTGCCCCGGTTGGGGTAGCCGCTTATCGTCATCACGTGACTATGATCAGCTGTGACAATAACCAGTGTGTCTTCCTCATTGGTCATTTCCATGGCCTTAGCAACTGCGGCCTCAAAGGCTACTGTGTCATTGAAGGCATTGCCTGCGAAGCCACCGTGGTGGGCGTGGTCTATACGACCGGCTTAAGACGAAAACATACAACGAAACATAATACAGCAACAGAGTTACGGTCCTTCCCTGCATATGTTAACACATTAATAAAACATGTCTATTTTCCCACGTGGTTGACAGCACTCCCGACAAGACATTAGTAGTAGTAGCGTATTAATGGAAATAACGGTTTGTGTATTTTTTTAAGCAACCCTGGCTAAAAGTTTTTTTCACAGAATTCTGGAAGACCATATGCTGATGCGTGGTACTCTGCCTCTCGTTCTGGCATCTGGATCACATCCATCGTGACTTACCCTCCACCATTAAAAAGAAACCGTCTTTGTCTTTCTGTAGGATCCGGATGGCCTTCTCTGTCATCTCGGCAATGGATGGTTCGTCGGTCCTTTCGGCTTCGTACTGCATGTGACTGGTCTCAAACAGACCTGCAGCAGCAAATCAGTAATCCTGATAATACACGGGGTTTAGACAGGACATCCTTGTGCGTCGATGAGCCACACACTCTTTTGATCAAGCCTATACGCTCCACACTCATCCGATTTATTGGTAAAACTCATCCGTCGAGATCAAAGACAGAAACTACAAAAACTGCGCGAAGCAGTCAACCCATTAACTAAAGATCGGCTAATTAAACACTGTCCACCGTGCACCCTTTGGCGGAGCTCCAGCCCAAAATACAGCGCAAGAAACAACTCACTACGTTGTGAAACGCCTATTTGTACAATCAAGAGTATTGTGACGATAACCTACTCGGGTCCTTGTTCAGGTTTTGGCCAAACGCAAGAGAAGGGATGCCGGTGTTGATTTCGAACTCAAGACAGCTTTCTGCATCGTTCGTACAACCACAACAGCAGATGATTGATGAGCTCAGGCCTTTTTACATTAAGATATCTATGCAAGTAATACAGTGTAATTTTTTATTTTTTTTCAAATGGGTGCCTAATGGAAGAGACTACACAATAAACATACCAAGAAGAAACTCGGTGCTCTCGGGATCTACGTTATTAAACTGCTCCAGGTTCCACACGAAGTGGCTCGTTTGGGCGTCTTTATCGGCCAACCATTCATCTGTGAAGAAAGATTAAGAATTAGATAGGTGGACACATATATAAATCAGATAAATCAGATTTTAAACATGAGGTCCAAATCATATTTTGAGACTGTAATCGTCCAATTCGTTGCACTTTTGCTGAAGCGGCAACGTGATACAGAATGTCACACAATAACGTGGTAATATGCTACAAAATGCAGAGCTGCATAAAAAAAAAGGAATCTTGTATATGCATTTCCATTTAGATAATTTGCAGGAATTGGCTTATTTTTCCGTTTTGTGTAGGCGTTTCAATCCAAATGTTTACTTAAACTACCTATTAGATTCCTTCCGTCTGTCCGTTGGCCATTTAAGAGTGGATATTCGTAGTCACTGGAGTTGTTAGGAATCATCTCTTGTCGACCTCCCCCCATAATAACCTGGAGATAAATTTCGACAAATGTTGATAGACAGCAGTGTCGTCTGTAGCTTAGCCATGCTAAAATATAAGACATATAGGAGAACCTTCATTTTTAAAAGCAAGTAATCAATGGACATAAGAATATCTGGAATGCGCATTTTATCAAAAACAATCGATGATCAATCCTGAGTATGGTCGTTGTGAGGTGGAACCACTTGGTATTTTGTTATTTTTCACTGACTCATTATCAGCAATTCGCAGTTCATTACAAGTATATCAAGATAGGAATAAAAATGACAGTCAAAGCGTCCGGCACTTTCTTAGGTCATTATAATACCTGGAAACGGTGGATAAACCTCAAGGCTGTACTGCAAACATAATATCAGGCAGCTACAGCCAAAGTGTGCAATTTATGAGGACCTGTATGCTGATCTTGCAGAATAATTTGACATGCCGAACATTTTGCTGTCGAACAGCTTATCCACTCCTTCTAAGATGCGACGTGCGCCAACGTCGACGAATCTGGGCGTAAACTTCAGAACCCTTCCTTGTCTGAAATGGGGCAAATAGGCCTGCGTCTTAAGTAGCGCCAGTTTGTCATAGTCTTCTCTGCCATATACGCTTCTAAATGCCATTGGGGACATGAACAGAGCTGTCTACTTCCAGTTCCGCACTCATGGAAACCTGTCCAACCTAAGACGCCTGAAGGCACGCACAACTGTCTTGGAAATGCCCAATAGAGCCCTTCTGTATCCAGATCACTGCACTGTGGTTGCACACTCCCCTCGGGCACATCCACGTTCCCACAGACTGCTCTGCATGTGCCAAAACCACTTGGGCCTGACTATTCCTCCTCAAGAAGACTGACGAGATGTACCAACCAGCCCTTGGAAGAGCCATAATGAGCCCCTGGTGACCATCAACGATACAGCCCGAAACTCAGTCACACAGGTAGTATAATATCAATATCTGCTAACATTGATGACGAAGCAACACACAGATTGTCAAAAGCCAACTTCGACAGACCCAAATACCTCCTATAGAGTGATTACGTTATCAAATTATCCACTTAGGTAACGGCGTATGAGGCTGCCATATTCCCACCCTCCTCTACGATTGTGAAACTTGGATGTATACAGAATACATTTGGAACAGTTGGACTTGCTCAACTATGGGTGCCTATGGTCCGCACACAACATCACATGGCAGGATAAAAGCTCCAACGCATAGGTATTACAACGGTGCGAACTGTCTTGGCTGGAGAGCTTTGGTCAGGTGGGTCCAGTTTCACTGGTGCTAGTCTCTTGAACAGAGTGACCAATTAAATGACGGGATTCCAAAGGAGTACTCTGGCCACAACCAACGTATACGGTGATCATACGACGGGTAGACATGCCTGAGGTACAAAGACTCCCCGAAACAGAACTTACGAACCTGTAGCGTAAAGACAGACTTGGAGGAAAACAGTCAACACTGAAATACTTGGGATCATACCTGACAAGAAGAAATCAGGCGCCTCAAGACCGACGGACAAATTCAACTGGATACAAATACAGCAAGGAGAGATTTGACATGTACCACAGGTACTCAAGATCCCAAACACCCCAGGCTACACTTACCCAGAGTAGTGTCGTTTGTGTGGATAAGGAATTGGACAGTACTTCCATGCAACAACCAACAATAGGACATAACCTGACACATTGTTCAGGACTGTGCCTAGAAAACGACGTGAGACTGCATCAATGAAATTTAGCAAAATCTAATGCTACTAAATGAGGGTTAAAAGGAACCAGGAAATAGAAATATTTTTATACATTTTACTAAAACCCTTGAAATTGCATTTTTGGGTTTTAATTAACCTCATTTTAAATTTTTGTTTTGCAAGTTTAACCCATATGAAGCTTTGTGGTTATACGCCAATGTGTATTTGCATATTCATGAGCAGAACTATGATGTCATCCAAGGCCTTGAATCTCAATGTTGCACTGATTTGCGCACAGAAAATTCCAGATTTTTTTAACCATTGCTGTGGCAGATTTTATTTTCTTTGGCAATGTACTGCTGTGTAAGTGTATGGTAATAATTCAGCAAAAATCTTTGTCACAGAAATGTTCCCAGATAGCAAATTTAGGGTTCACGATTTGAATATGAAAACATGCAACTTGAACCATGTCTTCCTGGATTTACATCAAAGCAAAAGCGCTCTTGTTCAGAAATGCTTGGTCAATGTTTAATGTTGGAAAAAGTGCACCGTTCAGTTCATGTAACTCAAAAAAGATGTCAAACAGTCTTCATACGTGGAAGAAGAGTGCAGAAGTACACAAAAAGTGATTCTAAGAAAATTCCATTTTCTGGTTCCTTTAAGCATAAAGATGTTTATTGGATAGGTCAAGACGAATTTCTGTTGTAGGTCTAAATTGTGTTCTTGAATCGAGACTACTTTACCTTAGTATTCTTCCCCAGTGTGACCAGTTGGTGAGCGATATCGGTGCATCCAAGCGCAGCCTCCTTCTCCGGGATGTCTGCATTGTTCTCCCAGTTACGGTCTGGCGAGTGAGCGTACAAACAGGCTGGTGTAGCGTGAGTCACGCGGGCTGTGGTCACAAACCCTGTCGCCTTGCCTGGACAATAACATTGTTAATAAACAAGAAATATTCCTGGGTGTACATCGTGTAGATTAAATGAACAGATACCTACCGTTAACAAATTTAACACCAAAATATTCATAGAAGGCATCCAAAATAAGGGCATGGATAACAACCATGACAATGCTATCTTCCAAGCTAAACATAATTATTATGGAGAACGTTCATCCAAAACTGAAGAATTCAAAATTTGGAAAATCACATTTAAATTCCATTAGTAATTAGAATTAAACGCAGTTCTCGGTAGAAGAGGTTCGGGAACTTCTTATACCTTCCCTTTCAGCATCAATCATGACTGAGTCTACTGCAGCGTTCAAACTGGACTGGCAGTCTCCCGCTACGGCCGCATCGTCCAGTCCAATAATTGCCTCCTTGGCCTTGACGCCGCAAAAGTAGGCCGTGGCCGTGCCAGCCGAGTCCGGTACTTGCCGGTTGGTATTGTAGGTCTGCCGGTTAAAGCGGGGTGTGTCCAGTGATGAGGGGAATAATCAGGACATTACAAGGGAACTGAACTAGTTACTCTCAGTGTCTTGGTCTATCAGTCAAGAAGTGTTTAATAGTGGGTGTGGAGTGAATGATCATTGGACCTAGGATCGGCAGTCCAGTACTCCAAAGGCCAAAGGCACCTGCACCGACTTCACAGGGCGGCTAATGAGCTGTTGCTTTCCAGCTGCTGAATGCGTGCAATTCAGTGGTACTTCTGTTTACGCACTATAAGCTGGGTAGCTAGCTTGAAGCTCCCCACAAATCAAAAACTGAAACACTAAATTAAAGCTTTATAAATCTCATCTTTTATGCGTGTCATTGTTGATGGGTATGAGAGTTTTGTTGCACTTTGCATCGTATTTCCTACACCCTGAAATTTTGTAGGCATGAGTTTTTTTGTGGTGTCTACTTATATTTCTCTCATCAGCCTTAGCAGACTGGCCGCCTGGTGTCAAACCGTATGTCACCATTAATAACATCCCCCTCATTCTACACTGGAGATCTGAATGGTCTGTACATTAATCTAACTTAAACTGCAACTTTCGAGATAATATTCAAGTTTAGTATGCCAAGATTGCACATAGTCCCACAGTCAGTGAAAACTTACAAAGACAAGTTTGGACTTAACTTAAATTTATGGTTTTTGAAACGAAACGTGTGCAAACGTTAAGTAAATGTTGAGTAAAATTTGCGTATTTAATTAAGGAACACCAAACTGCAAACTTTCTTGTCACTGTAAAGTACGATTTCGAGTGATTGCAAGAGTTTTGAACTTTTTTTCTAATACACAATGGTATGCATGTGGTATCTCGACGTGCAAGCTCCTTACACTGTAACATGCATCTTTGCCCAAAACATGATTACAGTGCAGCATTGGAAACAGAGATGTCAATGATGCACAACGCTGTTGGAGAACAACATTGTAGCAACAAAATGCCAGTGTTAATACACGAGCTCAACGCAAACGTTTTTTACTGTCTTAATTGTCTGGCTGTCTCTGGGATTACTATCTGAGCTTCATAAACAGTTTAACCATTCCTATTAGTCCAGAACCAATCACGTGACTGGTTTTAAACGGGCGATGAGTACAAGCTTGTATAACAAAACACACCTATAGGGGTGTTTCAAAAAATGAAACAAACTTTTGAGCAAAATCGTTGGAAATTTACAGCTTTCATTTTGGTTTACTTTCTAACTCAGAAGATATTTTTATAAACATCTTCTGCTCGGGCCACTGTCTAAATCGGTATTCACCGAACGTTTTAAGACCGGCCAAGCACACGTTTTCCCCTTATTGCAGAGCATCAACATTAATTTTTGTTTTCAAAGTAAACACGCTGATGGTTACTGGTCAGTCATTAATATAGCAGGCTTAAATCATTAGAAATAAAATCTGTATGATGGTCAAACAAAATTTGACCTTCCCTAAGGTAAACGGAGAGGCTGGTGGCCTACTGATATCACTTCATGCACGCACTCTGGATATTAATTGTAGTGCGCCGTTTAGCACCAAAGCATAGGCTTAGTCCGTGAGCAGTTCCGTCATAAATCTACGTGTGGATTCGACAGTCAAAGACGAGGGACGGAGAGTACAACTGGCTACAGTTGGTTTCATAATAAAGCATTAATTTTAACATAAATTTAAATTTGTTGTGAGAGTCAGTTTGCTTAATATACGGGAATGCTTATTTCAGTTAGTCTGTAGAGATATTACATCCTAATTTTTAAGGAATAGAGGGAAGTAAACTCTTAACTGTAGGAGTGGGAGTACACGAGCGATTGCCTTGTTCATTTACAACAGATCAAGGACTTCCAGACCTTCGAGAGGGCGATACTGGAGAATTTCTCCCACGCCAGGACGGTCTCCTCCCCAGTCATGCCCGCCTGCTGCCCCTTGAAGATCCGGGCCCCTGTCACGGTGGCGACACCCATGCCGTCCCCAACAAAGTACACGATGTTCTTGGCTACGTTGCGGTTCAGGCTGGCCTCCCTGCTCAGGGCTTTTTGCAGCGTGTCCTGGGCCTGGTTGTTCCAGAATTCTGCACCTGTAGGCCAGCACAGCAAACGTTCAATTTTCGAAGTAAAATGTTCCCTTTTTGAGTGATGTTTTGATCTTTAGGAGGTCTGAAAAAAAGCTTCACTGTCCTCTTTATTTTTTTGTTCACTGCAAAAAAGTGAGAGATGATTCAGTAGCCTATACCCCGCCTCAAAAAGTAGGTGGGGGATATTTTCCCCAATCCCTGCGATTCAATACACGCTCACGCAGTCATCCAGCAAAAGAAGTGATGCAAGGTGCAGCTCACTGTGTGGTCATTCAATTCCGCGAAGTTAAACAAAATTTGAAGACCCCTTGAGTGAATATTTGAGATGAGAGATTAGTAGGTACACTGCAAATACATTAGAAGTACGTCAACATGTGATGAACACGAGGTGCTCCGTATATAGGAGAGAAGACGACAAAGATTTTCAGAATCTAAAGTCCAACATCCTACCATTCAACCCGGCCCCGGCCGTATCTGCATTGAACCAGGGGAGTGTCCGTTGGACTTTGCCGTCACTATGTCAGCATTACTTTAAAGGGGAGGCCTCTTCCAAGGCGACATTGCCAAATAGGATAGTAGTCGCCGGGGTTTATTAATTAACCTGCCGGTGCTGTCATAAAATCATTTGGTTGATTATTATCTTCAATGAGACCTTTTATGTATGCGGGTAAGGGATGTGTGGATAACACAGCATCGATGCGGCTAGCCCTGTATCTGTTTTGTTTGTATTCCGAAGTCTATGATGTACAAATTCTAAAAAAAACAACAATTATGTCCCACTAAAAGTCCCAAGATTTAGTGTTAATAACATCTTTTGGATCTAGCAAGATAAGGGTTGAGTGACTTATGAAGGTAAAGAAACTTCCTCTTTTGATCCAAGGAAATCAGCCAGAGCAACTGTTTAAATAATGAGTTGGAAGGGTGGACACAACACATTGTGAAAAATTGTGTACTTACTCTGTGCCCGTGTGCAGCCTGCAAAACTGAGCCAGAAAAGCACCACGATCAAGGTCAGAATGGAGGGTTGCATCATGGAATTGATTTCAGATAGAAAAAGAGTTACAAAGAAAGTCAAAAAGAGGTTTTTGACAAAAATAATGGGCTGTTCAGCCAGATGAATTGGTACTTTCGAGACCAGTGCCACTCGGTGTCATGCACCCGAACACCTCGCCACTATTGCAGTCTTTGCTTCATTATCGTCGACCGGGTCTGTTATCTCGCTCTTCAATGGTCACAGTGTTGGTTGAGTTCTCAGCTGATAAGTCAACACAGATGCCTTTATACGAAAATTCCACGAGTGGTATCAGCGTTGCATCGAGCGATCTACCGGCTCTGAGGAGGGTGGACCTGGCTCATGTGATCATTTTATAACACTCAGGGCTACAGGCCAGGCACACAATATGTTTGGGGTTCGATTCATGTTCACTTTTGCGATGCAGGAAAAAAGCTTCATTTCAATTTATTATAATTTTTATATACATATTTTTTACTTTAACCTCCGTCAAGAACTGTAGGCATGCAATTGCGACAAGGTTTTCACACCCGTGAATTAAGCCAATTGTGCGGACTCGCCACTCACAAAATGTTCGACGAGCACATAAAGTGCTTCTTTATTTGAAAAAAATATATATATTTTTCGATACTCTGTTGGAAATAAGTAATTGTTTACATCACTGGTATAAATAAATGCTCCAGAACTTTGTATATTTGTGTATATGTATGCGTATATGTATATGTAACTGTAGCTCTGCCCATCCCACTAGAGGGTTACCGAGCCAGGAGATGCTAGTCTATTTGCTTACCATGTTTATCTTGTGTCAATAGGCTTACGAGTTTGTTCCTTGTAATCACACAGCATACCTTATTTACGGTTTTTTTCACGTGTTAACACTTTGCAAACTTCAAATCACGAACAAAAATCACAAAGCTGATAACAATAATTATAGGGGTGCAAAATTTGTAGACGTGACTTGTGCGCCCAAGCGCACCGTTTCTCTGTACTGCAAGTAATCACAATATAGCACCAAAGCCCGTTCACTACATTAAGTCACAATTAGTTTCTGCTCTCTAGAGAGTTGACCCATGTCTAACATTTCATGAAGAAGGTTCTTATAGCTGTACATGATTACCCTGTTTCTACAAATGCATATTTTCAAATTCGTTCGTTCAAATTCAAACACTGAATTATGAAGGTGCACTGGTTTATGTATAGATCGTATAAGCCTACGTTGAACTCGTATGCTGTAGGTGACACTTCACATTTTACTGTAATGTTGCTACGTGGTTCGTATTTCACTTTATGAAAAAAAAAAGACGTGACCTATTTTCTAAGTTAAATTTCTCTCTTGTACATATTTAAACTGTGAAACGAACTTGACATTTTCAAGGCATGAAACTGGCGCATTAAAACAAATCTGGAAATAGGTATTTTGGTGTCCGAAAGCTGGGCCTTCCAGCAGTTGGGACTGGGCCTTTCCCGACGCTGTTACGCAATATAAGTGCAACAGTCCCTGTGCTAAAGGCCCTGTCACACCTTGACGATTCAGCCAGCGTGTGCCGACGTATGAAAAATTTGGTGAATACGCTGGTGTACGCTGATATACGTCGTGGTACGACGAGGTCGTCAAAAAGTTTTGCGAATGCATAAATTTGTCGACGTATGCCAGTGTATGGCTAATACGTAAAGCATACGCGGGCCATAAGTCGTAGGTTAGCTATGGGATCGTTGACACACGTCCACACAGATTACTCATAAGTCTACATACGTCAAAATAATGTCTAGTGTATCCAAAACGTTTTATTTTTTAACCTATGGGTAACGTGCTTTGAACCTACGTGCAACTTATAGTGAACTTATCTCCAACACATATTGACGTATGTAGACGTATTTGACGCGTTCTGGACGACCACAGAACGTACTGAACGTGCTTCTAACATACAGCTACTATATATATATAAGTTATCTGTAAGTTATCGAAACGTTCTATTAGTTACTAATACGTTATGCATACGTCCAACTCGTTATGTATTTGCCAAAAAATTGAAAACAAAAATCGATAGTTCAGCGTATGCTAGCGTATTCACCAAATTTTCCGTACGTCGGTACACTTTGGCTAAATCGTCAAGGTGTGACAGGGCCTTAAAGCAGGGTACGCGGTACACCTGCTGATATCGACTCACTGAAGAAAATTCCACAACGGAAAGAAATGAAAATCAGCGGTTTCCTATTTTTTTGGCGTCCTGACTTTTGTTACCAGGGGACAAACACTTCTTACCCATGAAACCTTTTCATTTATCAGTTTAAAAGCATCAGCACTCACGATATAATGTAGCACAAAATCCTAATTCAAATTAAGCTAGTCACTTAACGAAGATACGGAAAGTTTATAAAGTTTGAACTCAAGAGTAAAACTTAGCACTTGATCACACTTGAAGGGCATTCCAGGGATTTCGGAACAATTTAACTTGACTCGAAGATGTCCCTAGTCCAAACGTTCAGTTGATATATTTATTCCAAATGTTTAAATAACTTGAATCCCTTATGAAAAACTCATTGTCGTGTTTTTTGGGGGGGGCGTTTTTGTTTTTTATTTCAATCGAAACAAGAATTTTGAATTACAATAAACAATGCCTGTAAGGAATGTTTTCTATCGACACTGTTGAACTAAAACTTTTGAAGAGCCTCTGAAGAAGTGAAGATTATTTTGCCATCAGCACAAGGTTATCAGGAGAAAAAAATCGATTTCGCGACACACAAGCTTGAATGCGTGTGCGTGTGAGTTTGATGTTGCAACTATGCCTAAATTCTGAATCAGTATGTTAATTCCCCTGGGAATGAAAAGGGTAAAGCCTTTGTGTAAAGGCATTTTTTTCTTTTAAAGATTTTTTTCAGCTAACTCGTACCTACTACTCATCAGTCTTATCTTCGACTTGTTACTCATATGTATTCGCTATGATTCATAATTCGTTCGAACGAGATATGAGTGGTATGTATTAGCCAATGAGGTATTTCGTACATACGACGTATATTTCATACGTACGAATTATATCTCGCACATACGTCTCATATCTCGTACATACGACTCATGAATCATAACTCGAACTAACAAGGTAAGGTGCCTTTCCATTTTCGCCAAGCAAAGCGATTTTGATAGCTGAACGCAACGCATACGTATGTTATGTTGATGGAGTCGATTTTTGTGTCCGTGAAAGTAACGAACCCCCCAAAAGGCACATATACAGTATGGAAAGGCGTCTTTATGGTTCACATAAGTAGTAAGTGATATAACTTGTACCTATGACAAACATGTTGCACGGATGCAAGCCCGCGGGAACGGGGAGGGGTGCTAGGGGTGCTGGCACCCACAACGTTTTGGATGGGGATGCTGGCATATGCTGTTGCACCCCCTACTTTTAGCAGGAAAAAATGCACATCCTATTCATAGAATCATTCCGAAACTAGTGCTTTAGCGTTGCCTCATCTCAATAGTGAAAAATGCAACTTTGTATAACGGTCAATCAGTCGGCACTAGATCGCGAGCAAATCATGTGGAGATAAACAACCTCGGCATAGTCTGATGGAACGAGGTTTCTGTTCCACTTCACAGAATCTTGTGAAGGAAGTACAGACAGTATTATGGGTAATTTATTATGCCTGCAGCTGTGGCGTATAACGCACCACGTATGCGTGACTCAGTAAACACGATGTGGTCCATTTGCGCTGATCCAATCAGAGCTCTTCCTCAGCTTTTCCCAGCGCCCTGTATACCCTGGTTACGAGCGAAAGCGCTGCACACACGTATCAACCTCGTGTCATATTATTTCTACGGTCAATCACAACAAAGCGGTAAGTCGTGCATTCACGGGTAAGAGGATGCGACATCTCTACTTGTGTGTGTTGAAGAAAACATGTTAAGTGCGCTGTTCGAGTTTATCCGTACGTTCGGTTGACGTTTTACAGAATTGAGCATCAAGGTAAGCCCTATGAGTTTACAATATTTTTCCCTTTCGTGTGTGTATTGTCAAATTGTCGCGATTGAGATTATGGTAGGCCTAGTATTTGTAAAGACAAAAGCCTAGTTTATCTTGATAAATTGGTGTTTTTTCCCATGGGTTTGGGGCGATTGTGTACGGGCACATGACGGGTCCCGTTCCCTTAAAAAGAACAAAATCCACTTTGAAGTTATTTGACTTACAAACTACCTTGCAACATTAAAAACCAGCAGGTATGTGATAGATACAGGGCACGGTTTTTTGGGGGGGGGCCCTACATTGACACCTCGACAAAAACACAGCGCGAAATAGGAAAGACTCACATGAGCACAAGCACGACTAAGTGAAGTGTGCAAGGATGCTTTGTATGTGCATTGCTGCAACCATTCTTTAGACCTAGTCCTCCAGCAAGTGGCGAAGGGCGTGACACTGATCTCAGATTCCCCCAACTTTGTACGAGACGTTTCAAATATAATTTGGGAATCATCAGAGAGAAGGTCACTGTTTGCAAGCACGTTTGAGACAATCCAATTAAACTGCTTGCTTTGTGCCCCACACGATGGTGTGTGAGAACTTCAGCTATTCAACGCATTGTGGACTCGCAGTACACTGTGCTTATAACTTTGCGTGAATTGTGCCACGACAACAATACAAGAACAGGCTCAACGGCCAAAATTGCTGGAGTATTCAAGCAAGGACTTCAAGCGAAGACCTACTTCGGGTTAATGGTTTGTCTTCAGATATTTGGCCGTGTGATAAAGTTGCCAAATTAATTCAAGGCAGTAGTGTGAACGCCAAAGGAGTCTTGCAAAGTACGACTGTTTTAACGAACCACTTAAGAAGCAGGCGTTCCTCCGAGCATTGCAAAACATTAGTTCAGGAAACCAAGAAAATATCACAACAACTAGAGTTGAAGATGCCTAAACCTAGAAGACCCTCAAAAACACCCCAACGGCAAAGAAATACTTCAAACCTTGAAGATGTTCTTGTCGAATCAGTTGAAGATAGTTGGCAGCGGCAGTATTTCCAGAGCATTGATGTCGTGACATCCAAACTTAAGAGGTGATTCAACCAGCCTGGCAGGAAGGTGGCTGCTGAAAGAGAGCAGCTTCTGGTGTGCGCTGCGCAGAAGAAATGGGAGGAGCAGACACTGCCACCGATGCCTGACACAATAAACAAATAAAGGCTGGTATCGCAATTATTGATGCTGGGCGAC